AGACAACTCAGGAAGTGCTCGAGACTACCTAGAAACTAGTAGCATTTCCTTAGTTCCAGAGAAAAGAAAATCCATAAGAATAACAATTGACAGACGCAAATAACAAGAAAAAGACAGGTTATTGATTCCTACAAACATAAGTCTTTAAAATAGTATCGTAAGTTGACGGTAAGTGCAAAACGGAAATCTATACGGCTAAATAATTAAGAGCTCTTTCTTGGTCACTTTTTAACTTTCTGTTCTATTCACTAACAAGTCAGTTTTAGAATGCTCAAGAAGAAGTTATATATAAAACATCAAATATTTTTTCAATATTCTTTTTTGTTCTAAGGACAGTATTGCCCATTACAGCATATAAAAGGAATGTAACTTTATAAACTTCGAAGGAAGTCTTGGTTTCGGCAAAGAAGCCGGGATTTGACGATGAACGTATATGCATTGGGCGTTCGTAACGTATCTGCAATCACTACTGCTACTACAATATTAGTATGCTATGTTAACATAATACTTAACACAAGATATTCTTTCTTTTCTAGACTTTTTTGATTTCATTATTTATAAGATTGTATCCATCATTTTATGATTAAATGACATTTTCTCAACTCTGTGTTACTATGTGTTACTGGTTAGTCTACCTGGCAAGATACGTATGTGATCAACGTACGGAATATACATAAGATGAAGAAACCACACAATCATGGATTTTACGAAAAAATTCTAATGACGCAAGCCGAACGTCTTATATACTAGTACATGTAGTTGATCAATGGTTGTTCTCCTTGCTTATGGAAACTAGTCTTCAAAGTAAGTTGCTGTTTGTAAATATTGTAATTTGTGAATCAAAGAATACGTTGTTTTGTACATGGAGGATATAAATGAATCAGGGTATGTAATTATTGCATTATAATATTGACAATGTGCAAGTCTAAGTGATCAATAGCTAACATTGATGTGTCGTGTAAGAAGGCACCTTTTGTGATTTATTTTCGACATCTCAAACAGAATCAATTACAGACAACCAGACAGCTAGATCAATTCTAGACTTAAAAAAAGATTTCTGAAAGATTTCAATGGTCAAAGACAGTGGTCCAGATTTCTCCACAGAAAGAGAAAAGCAGTATATAGATCACAGAAACCAACCACCAATGCACGAATAATAATTAGTGCCAGCTTTTGATGAGGTTCAATACACTCAGAATCCAACACTATTTGTGAAAGACCTTAGAAAAGCTATGTATTTGTGGGAAAGGCCATATTAATTAACGACTGAAATGGGTATTATGCATGAGTCTGCATATTATATTAAGCTGTGTTGGATAAAAATCGCTCTGAATGATTACAAAAATTGAATTGAATGGCCAATGTTTGGTTGTCTTATTTTATACATGTTCTAACTTCAATAAACTATACTGCGATGAAATCTCTTTATCTTTGCATCTAGGAAATGATAAGAACTTGACAATCTTTATACGAATTAAATTCTTTCTTAGAGCACCATTCAAACGCCTATTTCAACAAGGTGTATAAAGATTACTGAAATGACGGATTTAAATGTATATATTGGCCTGATGGTGTGAATTCACTGGCGATAGTATCCGACTCTGTTTAAATTAATTTGTTGTGGTTCAAAAAAGGAAAATAATGTCATCAATTCTATGGATATTAAGAGAGTTTTAAAGTAAATAGTTGGGGGACACGTTCAATATTGCAATGTTTACTTTCCGTTTATTCTGAGAAGTGAACTTCAGAAAAGGCAAGAACTGTTCATACAAAGCCAGCTGAAAGGGCAATTTGCAAGCATTTTTGGATGAGAACTTTAGGATTTTTTAAACAGGCATTTCATATTAATTTAAAATATGACCCAGAAAAAAAGTAGATTGATTTGATATCACTATCAACGTGGAAATGATTAGCTGGATTGATCTTGATTACCATGTAAAACAAACCACCGAGACCGTCAGGGGGTGGTCAAGCCTTTGTGATCGTGATGACAGTAAGCTAATACACAAAACATGGTTCTCCACGCGGTATTGTCTGCCTTCATTCTATCCCATTCATCCGTTAATTAATGCAAAACTTGGAAACATGATACAGTTTTAGTGCCAGTAGAGGCTACAATGAATGCCAATTGTTGAATGACTTGGTATATGAACCCTTTAGCATTAAAATTAATTTTTAAAGTCAATGTTACCTCTTTGTCCTGTCCGTTGGATAGTACTTTTAGTATGTCCTTGTATCCTTTTTGTACAGCTATGTGAAAAGGAGATAATCCATCATGGTCCTCAATGGTGGGGTCTGCCCCTGCATTCATTAGCAGGGTGCAAAAATTAACATTTTTACCTAAAACTGCCCAGTGCAGTGCTGTCCTCTCCGATTTATCCTGAACATCAATATCTAATTTGTCATTTGTTAACAATATCCTAGCACATTGCACAAAATCCCTACCAAACGAATTCCCTCTGCTACAACCTTCCTTTACACAGAATATAAGCGCGTGGCCTCCATCTTCATCAAATTGCTCATTATCTCTGTTAAGAGGAATGTCTCGATCCACATGCTGTGAGAAGAACTTTCGGAGATCCTTTTCTTTCCCTGTTTCCACCACTTTCCACATATTCTCCATGAGTTCGGCCATGCTGGCTCTAGTTTCTTCATCTTCACTGAATGTTTTTTCCGTGCTCTCGGATGGCCCTGTTATTTCTGAATCTGCCATGTCAGGGTATTAACTTTCCACCTTAACATAAAACTAGACCTCAAACCCGAGTGACATTTTGCGTGAGAGTTCATTCATGGGGAGGCCTCTGTCACCCCATTACTTGTCACATTGAGAATAAAATTGTTTTCCTTTTGAATTAAGTCATTCTGATGTCGAGGAGTCGGTAGATCAGATGGATACTCTTTATCAGCATTTGTACGTCATTCTGCAAATTTCCTATTGATTCCCACAGATAATCAACAGAAGGATATCATTTGCAATAAGAATCGAATTCATATACTGTCCGATTCAACTTTGCTCATGCAACCAGAATTGTTCTTGGAATCAATTTATTATAAGTGTAAACCACACACTCCAATAAGAAACATTAACTTATATGAAGTTATGTTTTAAAAGGCATCGATAGCACAATTTAAATCGACGAACATATGTTCTCTAAAGTAATTTGGAATTCCAATTATCTTCTCATGTTATCTATGTAATAAGACGCATGTACGTATTTTGGTCAAATCACGCGTGACGTCGACGAGTTGAGCGAGAAGTAAATATTGACACGCGACCCGAGTTACAACAAACAATTCTTGACAATTTCAATGATTTGGGCATTTAAATATTAACAGTGAAATGACAGGCTGTTGTATAGCTTTTCTTGTTGCTATTGCCTCAATTGATTTAAATTCTGAAGTAATAGTTTTTGAATCATATTTGCCTATTTACTAATTTTTATCTCATCCTCATACAACTGAAAAAATGGGGTCTTTCAAATTTTGCACTTGTTGAACAAATATTAGCAGTTCAGTTAAATCTTTCATTATTCATAGCTGTATAAACTAAAAGCAAAAACTGTCATGCAAAATTAAACGTTATGCGGAATCAATATTTCTTCTTCAAATTTTTGTCACAAATTTGTTTCTTATACGATAAAAATGATATAATTTTATTGACGATTATCAGGTGCTGCAATTTCAATACATCCCCAAGCAGACGACTATCGACAAATTACCCATATTGTGATGTACAGGTCGATTTCCTGGGTGTACTCTCACGCAGCTCCACAATAACGTAGTAATTAAAATGCTGGATATGCAGCTTTTAGTGTCATGTTCAGAGTAGGAGAGAAGTCTAAAATTGATTATAATAGATTTTTCCTTGAGCTTCCGGCCAGAGGAGAGCAAACTTTGCCTTGAAAATATGCTTTTCAAAACTTATTTTTCATTACATCTTCGATATAGACATTTCATGATAATTTAATACTCTCTGGTGACAACAGCTGAAATAGAAATATTCTTACAAGAGACTGGAGTTGCCCGAATAAGACTTTCCTCCGCGGCTGTACATTTTACGTTTCAATCACTGCGTAGACCAAACCATTTGTAGATGAACCGTGGTTTGCACTGTACAGTGTACCGGTATGTCCTTTTGTATAAAAGAATCACTAAAGCATAAAATATAAGGCAACATCCATAGATGCATTATGAATTAAGGCTTTGATTTGTTAATCACTTGTGATTAGTTAGAAACAGGCCCGTAAAATTGTCCTTAATCAAAGTCATTCAAGCATAAATTGTATGTTACATTCTTCTAAGAAATCATCCATAGATGCTCTATATGTGTAAGTTTGGTTTGAATATCATTTTTGATAAGCTAGGAAGGAATAAGTTATAACTGCCTTAAGAAATATCGTAAAATGCAGGTCGGATGTGACACCTGAAACGTTCAGCAGATTAAGAACCAAAGATGAGCTTAGTTTGAAAACGCTTTATGGTAATTGAGGACCAGGCCTAAATACTAACTATATCTACAGTGAATTTTCGTATTTACTTTTCATATACATGTATATATAATTATGAAATTCACCGTAAAGCTTTTCTATATTCAGAGATGCTGAAATGAGTGAGTGACTGAATCGTGGTAAAATACTGGTAAGACTACCTTACCATGCATCTACTTGTCTACTAGCTGTTACATTAATAAAGGCTGAGGGAATACAAATGATTTTAACGAGAACGACTTGGGGAAAATCTCTGTTTCTGAACAATATGTCAACTTGCATATATTTGAGAAGCAATGTTACTGTAACCAACAAATTGAAAACTTAAATGATGTACTATTGTCGCATGAAGGAATATTAAATTCTTGTCTTATATACTGAGTTCCTCAAACTTCATTACACAATATCAAGTAAAGGCTTGTATAAAGAATATAGACTGTTTGTGAAACACTTAAATTAAAAACACACACATACAGACAATTGCCCCACCCACCCACCCATCCACCCCCACAAGAGCAAAAATCTTTAAAAAAAAAAAATGAATCCGTCATGATCATTTCATTAAGAACACTTTTCTTAATTGTCGTCAAAAAGACTCATAACATTTTGGTACACTTTCGGTATACTAAATTTTTCGCTTTTCGTTTTTGCTGGGGAAAAAAACCTAGTCGTTAAGAATTTTAAAAAATAAGGTATACGGTATAAGAAATTCATTTTGCCTCACCCTGATCCTAAGATCCGGGAGACATGAATTTTACAGTTTTTTTTTTTTTGTAAAAGACTGAGTACTAATTATAATCATGCAAATATAGTATCCTGCAAGATGTTCTTGAGTTAAACCACCAAGATTCAAGCCATCTTTAAAAATGTTCTTAACTCCTGGACTTTAAGCAGTAAATCTGTTGGCATAATTATAATACTAGTAAGCAATGATCCCTTCACAAAAATTATAGAATTCATGGTCTCTTGGTTCAGGGTTCAGGATAGAGCTAAGTTAGTCCTAAATTGAAAATACATTGTATCTTATGAAATCTTCTTTACTCATGGACATCTAGCAGTCAAACTGTTTGCATAATTATAATGCTTACAAGAGTTGAAGATAAAGACTTATCAGCCATTGTTGGAAGCTGAAAAACTGTCCAAGAAAAAATGCAAAATATACAAAGTCATGCATAAAACAAAGGCACAGAGTACAATGATATTTGATAGCATTTTTGTATCTTTTAAGTTCACAGGAGTCACTCAATTGACCGACTACTATCCATTCTCTTCCGTTGCAGTTCTTCAAGTGACGTTCAAAAACGTTTAAATCTGTTTACCTTCTTTTTTGCAACTAGTGAATCAATGTAAAAAAATATTGCATGTACTTTAGTTAATTTGGACTGCGGTAGAGGAACAAAAATTATGAATTACAAGCTACGCCATCCCCAGATGCCTTAAGTGCCAAAACCTGAATATTTTAAACATTTTTTTTAAAACTCTCCTTCACTGCTTTATGTTTAGCAGACAAATTTATGGAACGCCACAGCTGCCTTATGTGCTAAGTCTCCATTATGATGATGTGATTTTGCATTATATGTGCTGGGTATTTTATAAGGATGAGGTGGGTTAACATTGTATGCAGTGGGTATTTTGATGAGGTGATTTTGCAGTATATGTTCTGGGTATTTCAATATGATGAGGTCATAGTACATTATATGTTGTGGGTACTTTATTATGATGAGGTGGTTTTGCATTATATGCTGTCGGTATTTCATTGTGATCAGGTGGTTTTGTTTAATATGCTGTGAAGACTTCACTATGATGAGGTGGTGCATTATATACTGTGGGTACTTTATTATGATGAGGTGATTTTACATTTATATGTTGCGGATACTCAATTATGACGAGTTTGTTTAGCATAATAGGCTATGGGTATTTCATTATGAAGACATGGTTTTACATGTTTTACATGCCGTGGGTCATTATTTTAGTTTATAGTCTGCTTGCACATTCTAAGGCGAATCCAGTGTGTCGAACTCATTCTATTTTATTATTACATGTATCATTATTTTCTGTTTTTCATTTTTATTGCTGCTCAAATAATTTCTGGGGGAGATTTCCTTTTAAGTGCGTTTGGAATCCCCTCCATCTGTAATCTACTACTCTCAGGTATAAAAGAAAAAGAGTCCTTAAATATTGCTATCATTCTGTACCATCGGCTTATTCATTGACATCTTAGTTCGCTCGCGTATTTCAATGTAAAAAGCATGAGAAATTGTTTTTATTCATTATCATTAAATACCTACGCTAATGAGTGTCCTTTAAGGTGGGTATTTATTTAATAGATCTAGAACTATTAGTTTAATTTGGAATAATCCTTGGAATATCATGTTTTTACTCTTTGTCAAAAATCTTGACTCGAGCCCATTGCAGAGGTGTCTGAGAGAGGAACAAACGACAACTCTACAAGGGAGATTATATCAGAACATGTAATTTAGAGTATAACATGTATATTAATAGCTAACACACTTTAAATACAGGATTTTACAAGTAATAATGTTTTGAATTATTTTTAAAATGAAACGATGCCGCAATAGTCAGTCCTCCATGCTCCGAGTACGTGAAAACAGGTGTTTGAGAAGTTTTCCGAGTGATCACCTCATCATAATGAAAAAAGCACAACATATAATGAAGTATCGCAAAACCACCTTATCGTAATGAAGTATCCACAGCATACAACGCAAAACCACCTCATCATAATGAAATACCCACAGTACATAATGCAAAACCAATTAAACCAATTAGAATTCGAAACTAACTAAGATGAAATATTCACAGCATACATGTGTTATGCAAAATCATCGAAAGATAATGAATTACCCACAGCATATAATGCGGAAGGACCTCATCATATTGAAGTACCCATAGCATATGATGCAAAACCACCTTATAATTAAGAAGACCCATCACATAAGGCAGCTGTGGCGTCCCAAACGAATTGTTCGTATTTTAACAATGAGCTTATAACTCTCCTGCTTAAATGTTAGTTTTCGTGCCCTTTGAGTAATGGCTTTAAGCTTTGTTGATTAGACGTTAAAATGCAGTACATCTGTAAAATTCAAAGTTGATTTCTTACATGTACTGAATAAAATTATTGTTGATAATCGTAAAAACTTGGTAGTTGCATATGTCCTTGAAATCTTCATTTCTTAATAAAATTTTGTGTTGTTTTCAAATTAACAATACATGAGAGATAACTCGGTCTTCAACCAATGACAATGCTGTCCACATAACGATATAGGGCTATGCAATTATCATACACAATTTCATAAAAAGAACGTTGGCGTAAAGGCTCGATAACCATATCTGATAGCATCTCAATCTCGTTTTCTACTTGTTTAAGCTTTTGGAGATATTTCTGACGGGAATTAGCCATTGTTTGATCTACAACAGGATTGTTCGCATTCGTATCGTTTACGATATTTTGATACCGTTTCAAAATACGTATAGCTAGTGCATTTTTCTTCGATTGGCACAATTCGATAGTTGTTCTCCCATCCCCAAGCTTCACCTCTGGATCCACCCCCAGTTTCAGAAGAATAAGAAGCTGTACTAGCAGCTCCTGATTTCGGTTCGGTTCGAAGACAACAACTCGTCCTTTAGAAATGAACGTTTCTGGAAGACATTGTAAGAGGACATGTAGTGGCGTCTGACCGTCTCGGTTTTTGATACTCGAATCAGCTCCAATTTTAATGAACTCCGAAAGAGATTTCCATTTCTCACTAGATTTATTCAACAGGTCAGCTTTTCCTCTCCGGGTGGTCAGTCCAAAGTCAACTATAATATTGACATCTTTTAATTTGTTCATCTTTTTCAATATGTGTTCAACAGTTTCCACCTCCTTATTCTGGACAAATACTTCTTCCAGAGCCGTTGATTCCAGTGATGTGTTAGACAGCATCAAATGAAGGGGTGTGTTTCCGTCCCGATCTTTTCCATTTATTTTCACTGATTTTGACACGAGTAATTGTATGAGAGAAATACTGTAGTTCCATGCAGCAAAATGCAATGTACCTCTTCCAGAATAGTCACAGGCATGCACATTGGCTCCTCTGTCAATCAACCATCTCGCCACAGCTTCGTTTCCCGCTCTACACGCTATCAAAAGAGGCGTCATACCATTCAGCTCATCTCGGAATTCCAAAGACGCACCATGACTGAGCAGGTAGCGACATACATCAAGCTGATTTGCCCCACAAGCCAGTAAAAAGGCATTGAAGCCCAGACTGTCAGTTTTAGATATCACAGCACCCTGAGAGCGAAGAAATTTCACCAGTTTGAGATGTCCATTCTGACTCGCTATCATCAGAGGAGTGGTTCCTTCGAAATAACCATACAACGCTTTCTGTCCATCTTCAACGCAACGAAAAAACCTAGGTCCATCAAGCAGCTTCTGATTTGGGTCTTGTCCGTCTTTAATCAGACACTGAGTATCTTCAATGTTGCCTTCAAATACAGCTTGATGCAGTTGTGGCACAGCAAACACTTTATTTTCGTCTGTTGATGAAAAGAGATTGCAGTTGAAAGTCGAAAAAATCTCATGAAACTCAGAAACTTTGTTATTATACATGCTTATCAGTAATGTCTATAATCTTGTGCATATTTAAACGAAGTATCGTACATCACTGGGTACATGAGTATTGCATAATTTTTGTTTTTTCCAAGAGACATCTTGGACATGCATTTAGAAGTGTAATAAACAGGAATTTTATACTATATACGAGCAGTTTCAATACAGTGATTTTATTTAGATTTTATTTAGTAGATAAAGTATTTATGCGGAATATTTTTGCATATAAAGATCTACGTTTTGATCATATCATTGTTCATGCATAGCTGCTTTGTTTAATCAGACACGCCGTGTTTACATGATAAATTTGTTTTTGGTACAGTTTTATAACATATTACCTATAGTGATGTGTTTGCCACATTGTCCTTGATAAAAACCGACCCGATAAATTTCAGACAGGATTATAAGTCGTCGACAGTTGGTTTTAATGTCTTCATAACACTCGGCATACTCTGACTCTTCGGGCTCTCTCATCTGAGAAATATTAAACGGGCACTAATTACAATTTGAACACGACTGAAAATGAAAATCTTACAAAATGATCATGTAATGTCTTACCCTGTAATGGAATTCCTTTGAGGCGTATATGTAATGCGAGACAAATATGCTGTGAATTTATGTCAGAAGGTATACCGTTTTTCCGCTTCGGTGAAATTGCTGACAGACGTTACAATTAATCAAAAGTGAAAACTAAATTTAAATATTCTCCAACATGCACATTTATATTCTAAAACATTACCTGGCAAGAAATATGCGGCAAGAATATGTTAGCATAATCGTTTGCAATTATATTCCGTTAGAATTATTTTTCGTAATATTCCATACCTCCTCAGTATTTCCAGATTACCTTCAAGTACTTAATTGTTTCCATACGTTTTATGTTGTATAGCATATACAAATTTTATACTGTGGTACTCTCAAGACGCAAATTATATCCTCGATCCTTTTCACTATTTAAAAAAATTCTTTTACTTGGAGTATGAGGTAGAACTCTTACTCCAATTACTCTTCTAAATATCCGAAGCAAAATTATGTAAAACATTTTGCAGGACACATACCTTTTTTTTTTTATACCAGCAATTTCTTGCGAAATCGTACCAAGATATATTACCATTAAAGTGAAGTTCATGTACAAGAAACAAAACTGAGAATTTGAGAACATACACGTAGTTTTACAAAGAATTGAAAATCACTTTCGGCAAGGAGATGTTTATAAAAGTCAAGAAAAAGCAAAAATCGAATTAAATCGTAGGGATTAAGGAGCAAAATGTGTCTAATATTGAGATAATTTGCTCAGGTATGTGTGAATTTGAGTAATCTATACAGGTTTCCTGCTTTTCCTGAATTGAAGCAGTATATTATTATTTTTTGATAGTTTGAATCAAAAGAACATCCAATATTTCTCAAAACATATTTTTGAATCATGAATTTCTTCTTTTTCTCATATTTGACCATAGAGCTAACATCATTTCTGAGATACCTTCTGTCCTCTGAAAGTATATTTTCTTTACTAGTATGATCAAGGGGCTCTGTTAATCTTAATATATTTGGAAAATAATTTCTCAAATATACATTATGAAATGTGGAGATAACGAACACGTTCATTCTCATAAATCCTTTTAAACAATACAGCCTCCTCAAACAGAGGTAGGATCAGGTGCCACGGAGGAGTAAGCATGCCCTGTCGACCGGTCACATCCGCCGTGTACTTCTTGTAATGATCGGGTAAACGGAGAAATCCAAAGACAATTCGGTGTGAAAGTAATGACCTAACAATTTGTATGAAAAAAGTTATTTAACATTCGACTTGACAGAATGTATTTGCAAAAAAGGTCAGTATCGACTATGAAATTTGCGAAATGTTGACTTTAAACGAGATTGTCGATATCTTTGTATCATCAACTAATTTGTCAATAGCCTGCCTTGTTTTGGTTAATGTTCGTACGTAGAACATGCTCTTGCGTATAGAATCAATTGAGAGACATAAACATATAAAACCCCAAAGTTTCCAGATTGAATGTTTTTAACAGATCCCGACTTTTAAAGGAAATTTGCAAGGCACGGTTTAAGGAGAAAAGGGTTTAATACATAGGTCTTTGTTACATATAAAACTGAGAGTGATCTCTCATGCAGAATTCTCTAGGCAACGGAAACCACTTAAATGTATGTTACTGAGGTAAACAAGAAGCAAGTGCGCTTCCTACAACTGGTAGATTTATCCCTTCAGCAAGAAAGAAATGCAGTGATTTCTTTTATTGAACGAAAATCATATCATTATTGACCATGGGTATGCTTTGGAACATGATGTATCAAGACGCTGAGTACAGTTGTCTAAACCAAAAACAAAATCATGCCAATATGTTCCTGAGATTTTGTCCTCAAGAAAGTAAAAGATATAATAGAAACAGTGAACCAGTTAATTTTTTTAATTTACCATATGAATGATAATAGACACTAAGAGAAGTAACTCCAGATAAAGAACAGTACATGTATGTGTGTGTGTTTGTACCTATATTTGCATTTTTAGCCAAAATTTATAGATGTCATGGGAATTGACGATGTATTGATAAATATAATGCATATTTAAAAAAAACTCTATGAAATAGAAGGGTTTTGGACAATTCTTATGGTGAAAAATTATAAATTTCCTTTTTATCAACATTTTTCATAAATGCATTGGGTCGCCCGCGTGGCGCAGTGGTTAGAGCATCTGCTCTAGAGTCGCGAAGTAAGGAGTTGATCCTTACGTCGCGGATTTGAATTCCACTGTGGGACGTGGAGACCGGTCCTTCGGATGAGACCGTATAAACCGAGGTCCCATGTCGCAGTAGGTGCTGGCACGAAAAAGATCCCTCACTGCTCAATGGCCGTGAGTGCCGAGTGTAGGACAAAATTTGCAGCTCTCCACCGGCAAGTGGTGGCGTCTCCATATGAGTGAAAAATTCTCGAGAGGGACGTTAAACAACATACAAACAAACATAAATGCATTGGAAATTGTAAAAAAAAAAAAAAAACAAAAACAAAAACAAAAAAACATTGATTGGAAAAAATATACTAAGAAAGATTGGCTTTGTGGGATAAAAAGTTCCAGAATATAATATGTTTAGTACCATTACACTGTTTCAAGAGCTGTATACAAAATCTATAGGAAAGCCAGGAACCTTGCTAATGCCCTTTAGGTTTAACTTCCATTTCAAATTATTAGTTCTTAAAGTATTTGACCATTGCATCAAGTACCATACTTAAGAACCTTTCCCATAAGGAAATTCCCAAACTTGCATTTTACGCTTTATTTTGGGCTTCTGCACATTATAAAATCTTTTGGTTCTTCGATTGATTGTATGTTGTTTTACGTCCCGTTCGAGAATTTTTCACTCGTAAAAAACATATACCGGTGAAGGGCTTCAAATTTAGACTTTTACTCGGCACTCATGGCCATTGAGCGGTGAGGGTTCTTTATCGTGCCAACGCCTACCGTGACACGGGGCCTCGGTTTTTAAGGTCTCATCCGAAGGACCCGCAACTTTCACTTCAAAGAAGTGCCGAGCTCTTGGCGAAAGAACAGTTGCTACCTATTTTTTATCGACTTAGATAAATCGCGGTCGTGATTCGAACACACGACCTTGGTTCTTCGAAGAATCACTACTTGATATAGAACAATTAAACATAATATTCTGAATGTGTCAATTGTGTTTGAAATTAAAAGTCATTCTTCTCAATTGTTCACAATTAAGTGGATCCAGTAGTCACAAATTTTCATTGTGATAGATAATACTTCACTTCTTGGAAACCAGTGAAATTCAATAAAGACTGGGAGACAGTCAACGCTGTTGAGTCTAAAAAGACACACGTAGAACAAAGAAAAATTGAAGCAATCTGATGCCTGGACTCCATCCCTAACTACGAACTACAAGGAAAGTGAAGTGAAAGCTCCAGAAATAGCAATATGGAGAAATGCTGTGCACTTTATTCATGAATTAATGATCACGTGACCGTTACTAATTAATATTCATTATTATTGTAATATTTCTAAAAATCCCCATAATTTAATTATTTTTTTTTAATTTAAAGAAATATAAATTTGATCATATTTTCATCATGTTTTTTCAACAATCAAGTGTAATATTTTCCCCGGCCAAAACAACTGTGTTTTCCCCACTCGGAGACTCGTTCACTTTGTCCAAATTCTGGCCTAAATGTAAGTTTCAAGCTCAAAAGGAACCCTCTTTATCCTTAAGGTAATGATTTATTTTTTGAAATTGAAAGTACAACTTACCTTCATGTCATATGAGGAAGAACTCGGTCAGAAAATGGCAAATATTCCTAAATTTACTTGACAAAAGCGTCCCCAGCTCTTTTACCACATTTTTCTATATCAAAGTAATGAAGCTTCGCTTCAGATTTTCAAACTCAGAAGGAACCATCAACTTTTCGTCATTTTGTAAACAAAAGAGTGCATTCCGATCCAGGACACAATAAAAGATAGAACCATATGAGACTGAAGAAATTATTCTGAATTGATATTTTTTTTTTAATTTCTGTTTATCTTATTTTTCCTTATATAATGCATTGAACAGAAATCAGCCATATTAAACACAATATGACCGCTATGCAAATTAGCAAAATGTACACCATTTCTCCATATCCACTTGCATTGTCAAGTCAGTGCTTTTGTGCTTGGGAATCAAAAAGCAAAGGAGAGAGGGGGACTACTAAACATAGGAATCTCGCTTAAAAACCTTTCAGAATGCAGAAAGATAGAGGAAAATTTAGAAGAAAAAAATGCGGCTGTGGAAAGAGCAGCTTTCATAAAACACCTACATAGATTTACAAAAGCAGCTTTAAATGGTGAAAAGTCAGCATTGTTTAGGACCAGAAAGAAAGAGATGATAATTTTAGGGAAAGCCATTTAGATCTCATGGGTGAAAAAAGGTGAAGATAACAAACAGTGATCGATCTCAAAAAAAAAAAAAAAAAAAAAAAAAAATCCATAAACAATACAAATCTGTGAACAGGACCCAAATGAGAGGGTTGTCAAGAGAGAAGAACAATTATCGTCACTGTTAGACTACAAAAAACTTGGAAAACGGTTTTGGGGTGGTGTCCTCTACAAAAATTTAGAATTTTTAAATTTAAATTTGTATATACAAATTTAAATTGAAAAATTCTTAATTTTTATAGAGGACAGTGGTAAAAAAGGGCAATATACCGATCAGTTCCGGGGCACTGTTGAATTCTAAACAAACTATTAGGGTTGCCCGAAGTTATTGCGACGACTCTGAAGGCATTTATAATTTCATGAAGCAAGAATAAAAAGTCGTGGATTGTTGAAAGACAGGAAATGGGGTGATTGGTAGAAAAAAGAAAGATTCAAGCATGATGAAATTCAGAACCCGTATGTGTGAAGGAAAAGTTCTTATTCTGCATTACTGGCAAGGTGTTTTATAGTATATATGACCAGTAGCAATTACATGGACACTTCAGTGCCGAAAAGAAGTATCCCTGTATTTCCTGGATATGTCGAACCACACACTTTATCAAGGATTCTAAATTAAACCACAGCGAGCTAACGGTTGCTTGGTTATACC